TCCCGGTCCACAAAATCTACGTTAATCCCCCCCATGGAAGACGCCGCTCGAAGCAGGATGACACGGGCTTGCGCACGTTGTAACGCCACCTCGATGAGCGCCTTCAGTGACCCTAAAAGATAAGCCGAAAACACAGAGTCGTCCTCCCGACAAGCCCCCCGCGACACAGCTAGCCCCACGTGCGCATCCCCTTGCTGACGAAGCCACCGCCGAAAACGACCGCCGAGACACCCCCACGTCTCTACTATCAGAGGGGTGAACTGCACGCCCCGGTTGCGTGCAAGCAGAGGCGCGTAATCACTCGTTTTGCGACGCTCCCACTCCCTTGCCGCCACACCTATTTGACGCCCGCACTGTCCCAGCAGGGATGGAGACAGCGATAGCGGGTCCGCGACGCTGATCTCTAGGGCGTGAGCCTCTTCAGCCATTGGTCGTCGCACCGCCATATCAACCCGCTCCCCCTGCAGCACCACACTATCCTCCATTGTCACCACCCCCCCCCGACGCCTTAGAGATCTTCGCCACCGCAAACTTCACATCATCATGCACTCGAGATGGACCATGCTGATGCTTGCATCTCAGAGCATGGTGCGGGTCTGCTGGGTCAAATTGGGTATATCTAGTTGGTTTGTTTAGTTTAAGAATGCACTTGTGTGTCACCTTCTACCTTGAAAGAGGATTTTCTCAAGTAATTCAACTCAACAAACATCACAAACATAGGTTGGAGATAGAACTGGGACAAGTGTATGAATTTGGCATTTCCCGTAGCTCTAGCCAGCTAGTATATGTACACACTGTATTTTGTATTAGTTTATGATCACACTGTATTTTGTATTTGAAGCTACATTGGAGGAAGTCAGAGTCAACGAAGGAGCACTGCTAGTCCACGTGTCGTTGAGGTGGCGTGTGGAAAACATGTGCGTTAACATCCGGCGTGGTGAATCTCTATTAGACCGCACGATCATTTATATTTTTCCCCCTTCGTGAGCGAGAAACATGTTCCTATCATTTCTTCGAGTGTAATGGTCGGTGCGTGCTGAAGCTTCTCGCCGGGTTCCTAGAATGGTGCTGAAAATTGAAGGCAGAAGTACTCTCTGATACTCTAGTTGCAGAATTGCGTTCTAGCCTCAACATTTTGAAGTTCAGGTGATCATTACCGCCGAATATATCAGGCTTGACGACCCATCTCCGCTGAGATATTCCAGCAAGTAAATGTTAAAGGAGGTTAGAAGGCGACATTTTGCCACCCTTTCTTCAAGAACCCGCAACATTGTCAAACCAGAAGAGATCTATCCGCGGTTACAATTGATGCCTGTTTGAGCCCCTCCCGGTTGCCTTGTGAAGGGGGCGTATAAGCTGTGACGAGCATTTCGCATAAGTTTCGTCAATTCGCAGCTAGCCAAAAAGGATTCGCAGGTGCTTATAAACAAGATCTGTTACCTTATTTGACTTCAGTCTCTTCTGCTTGACCTCGGTCTGTTCGTTACTATTGGTTGATAACCACGCGACGCGCTTGTAACGTGGGAGCAACAGGCTGTGGAAACAACCTCGGGTGCAGCGTTTCCATCCGGCGCAAGGCAAATTCGCGTGCACTGGTTGGGCATCAATTGTATACTGCTGAGCAAAGAATTTTCGTTCAGAACATGCCAATACCCTGGTGCGTTTAGATAGAAGTACACCGAGTCCTCGCCAACTTCACTAGGGCCAATTTCGGCCCCCCTTGTCGTTACGTGGGTCGGTGGGGTTGGGTGCTGCGCGGGGGCGTCCCCTGCAGACTCCCCTACATAAATGTTATGGCCAATTTCACCCCCCCGCCACTACAGACAAGATTGACCCCCTCGGGGGGGGCGTGAAATTGCCGAGGACTCGGTGTACCCTCAATATGAATGCTGTCAACTCTTGCCCAGCCTGAAACTGAAAGCGCGACTCCACCCTTCCTGCGACACCTGACGCGTCGCATAAATTCCGCATCGCTCAGCGACAGCAATCCGCATAGCACCGTCAGCTTCCGCTGGTGCTGGGCTTGTTGCAGGCAACTGAACTGACTCGTCGTCGTCAGTAAACTTCGTTTGACCGACAAATCTGCGAGATTTCCGATGCGTGCGACTCTCGGTTTTGGGCCCTGAGTCCGTTCTCCGCTCCGCAGAAGACCCTCCGGCAGAACACGCGCTGCGGCGCGTCGCAACCACGCGCACACCAACCGCAATTGATTGTTGACCCTCCCCTGCCAGCGTCCCGCCAGCTGTTGGGGTTATCGGGACGTGAACTTATCAGCGCTGGACAGAAAGTATGAAATACACATGATGCCCGACCAGTGCACGCGAATTTGCCATGCACCGGATGGAAACGCTGCACCCGAGGTCGAAACCCCTGCTTGCTGCTCCCACAGTACAAGCACCTGGATGGTTGGCTACAGTACACGCGCTGCGGCCACCAACGCACGTGCAGTCCCGAACAAGGCAGGCCGACCCTGGTTTGCCTTGTTTTTAGGCCACAAGTCAGGCAGGCGAAATGTAAGGACGAAACATGTGTGGTTTCGTGAACGCATTCGCCCGACTGCCCCGCCACCTAAGCGAGGTTCATCGTGCGTGTAACAGACATTTGGGCAGATTCACACTGCCACGTGTAGTCTGCACTTGTGGGGTACATGCGCATTATCAGCCAGGCGTTGTTCGCCGACCCCACGTCGGACCTCCGATCGTGTGGTTACCAAACCACTCGATCGGAGGTCCAAGCCAGGTGCATGGAACGAACCACGGCCACACGAATGGGACGACGACACAGAACAGGCCCCACCAGTGCCCCAGCACGCCCGCCATCCTAAGTTAAAATCAGACCAACGAAGTCACAAATGCATCGTTCTCACACACCCCCGCCTCTCACAATGCCCTTACTATTGTCGTAATAAGCGCGCTATATGCGCGCATCACGTAGACAACCATCGCCTGCGTATCCCCATTCTAGCTCAACTCGTGATTTTTTTTTGACAGTCTGGAAACCTGAAATGGCTCCATCGCATTCGCTAGAAGCTACTAATGAGGGATGGCTGGATTCTATGCTAACGGAAATACCGGCAGCGCATAAAAGTCACGATGACCACGCATCCAACGGAGCAGCTTCAGCATCTGACCGACACCACGAAGACGAGGTTAGCAAAGTACTTTTTAAGATATTCTTTTTACATCTTGTCTGCCACGTTTAATTCATCATGGTAGCGAAGCTTCTCCTGCAAATCAAGCGGCACGACACTATTTTGTCGTTTCAGAATCCTTTTGCTATAGTTGACGCCGTCCGTTGCATGTTGCTCTATTTTCGTTTTCACGCTCCTTTGCGTAAGCTAGTCTTCGTTTCACACCATATCACGTGCCGATACATGCTTGTGCCATGGCCTGAATTCCTCTGCACTCGTTCCCCCAATGACCCTTTCGTCATCTCGCTCTTCTCGTCAGCTTGGTTCGACCCGGCAGCATCGACGCTAGTAGCGTTAATCACAAAGTGATCGTCCGACTGATTGGTCTTCCTCCTCAACCAGCGTCCCGTTCGACGCGATCAATGCGGGTGAACGGTCCTCATGTTATCCGAGCAGTCGGACTTTTGGCTGATTTCGCGCGAGTCGACTTAACAGTCTCATTCGTCGGCTGTTCCTCGCTCTTCCTTCTCCGTATAACGTTCCGTCCAGCGACGCCAACCGACTACGTGTTGGTGGAAATTTCTGCCGAGATTTTGACAGTCGCCGCTACATTCCCTTGTCACGATTCCTCGTTTCCCCTAACAACGTTCTTCCGGGCGTGGGAGATGCTGATTGGATGTGTTTTGTGTTTTGGTTGTTCTGTACTAAGAGGAACATTTGATGAAGCTGCTTGTTTCATTCTTGTAGCATTCGTTGAGTAACCTGTAACTCACACAACGGACAAGTAGGGCCAACCATTACTGTAGCGAATCGGACAAATCGGGTGGTTACCATGTTCAGTTTTGAAGCACGCATAAAGCCTGACGAAACGTACGAACCCCACGCGAAATGCAGGTTTAGCTTACAGACCCCCTTCACAAGGCAACCGGGAGGGGCTCTAACGGGCATTAGCTGTAAGCCAATCTGATTTCCGCAATGCCGTTCCAAACCACACAATCTTGCGCCAATTTCTCCGCCAGATATTTTTCCAAACCGAAACACATTTCAGCGTCAATCTTCCGCTGGTGCTTTCAGCTGCCGGAACCTCCCATCACCTCACTACACCGAAGGCCCCATCTTGTCGACGCGGCTTGCCAGTTGCAGAACTGACCTGGCCACCGCCACCACAGTCGAGTGGAGGGGAAAGCATCCCACGAAGCGGCTCGTGGCCGCTTGGAGTTTCCGCCCAGTTCCACGTCACAAATTCACCGATTCACCACAGAAAAACGCTCTCCTCCCCCGCGCACCCCCTCCCACCACACACTTTCACGACCGCTTCGCCGCTTCAACACCCGCTCCCCCCACCAGTCCCGATTGTTCTTTCTTGCACCGTGCAACTCCATCACTCCCGCCCGCCCGACCCCCACCCACCCCTCTTCCTGTTCCCGCAGCATTTCCCCCTTGAAATCTTTATTCCGGGTTCATTTGCGGGAAAAGGAAGCAGCGAAGTTCCCACCGTCAGCTTCCTCCTCGCCGTGCCAATTCCGCGCGAACTTCCCCCTCTTCTCCAGTACCATAAATTTCCAGCGCCACCCTCCTCCAACCCTCACCTTGGCCTTTCGAAAATTTGGACAGTGACTAGAAAACACAACCCACGCCACGCCATATCGTCCCGTGAAGAAACCTTCAACGGAGACTAGCAAGCTGCACGAGCTCACAGAAGAGGCGCAGCACCTCTCGTTACTTACCGCCATTCGAGACCTGCTCCACCTCCCACCACCTCTCCCCCGCCTGATCTCCACAGCTCCAAACCAGAAGACGACTTCAACCGACAATCTTTAACTCACCTCCGCCATACTTTTCATCCATTCGCCATCACATTTCCTCGAGAATGGGTATTTCCAGAAATCACAGGCGGTTCGAGGTGCTCGTGCCACTCGTCACGCTCTGCCTGGTCATCTGCGCGCTGCCGTCCGCGCGTAGTGATGACGACGACGAGGGTGGTAGCGCCGTAACCGGCGCATGCGAGGTGTCGTCGCTCGCCGGCTACAAATACGCCGTCGACCTCAGCGGCAACGGGTAGGTCAACGGACGGCAGCGATTACAGCGATTACAGAAGCCAGTTTTCCGAGCCGGCAGCGGTTATTGACGGCAACGGGATGGTACAATAACGGATACGTCATTTGACCAAGGGTGCAGCTTCAAGCGTGCCGCATTGGAATACCTTTCGTGGCTTCCCACACGACCGCCAATACTTGCACAATCTCAGCATGTTGCCACTAGCCGCGTTTTGTCGACTCCCCCTAACCCATTGTCAATGACACCCCGCCCCCCTCTTCCCTCTTCCCCAACTAACAGCCTCTACCTTCACTGGGCTCCTAAAGGCACAACCGAAATGGACTTCGCGATCGAGGCGCGGCCTGGAAGCGGCGCGGAGTCCACGTGGGTATCCGTTGGATGGTCATCTGGACGGATGGCTCCCGCCGACGCGGTCATGGGGAACCTTGCCGGAAACAAGGTCGCGGCGTACTCGATACAAGGCTACGACATGGGGTCCGTCGCGCCAACGACGGGGTTTGCGCTGGCGGGGACGGCGGTCGCGACCAGCAATGGCGGCAGCACGGTCTCGAAGTTCACGCGCACCATCGGCGACGGGGATTTCCCCGTCGCGCCCGACGCGAACACGCTGATCTGGGCGTTTTCCGGCAGCGGCTCGCAGGGGCTGGATTACCACGGCGGGAACTTGTAAGTGCGCAAAGCCTGCAGCATACGCGTTATAAACAGCCTTGTCTCGCAAGATAGCCTCCTGTGGGCGAATCGCGTTCCTGACTTTGCCTGCGTCTCCTCCCGTCGTCCCGTCGTCACCCCGTCCCGTCGTCGCAGCGGCATCGTGAACATCGACTTCACCTGCGCTAATGTCGCCTCAATATTGGTAGTTTAACCCGCAACTGTCGTCCTCTTATCCCGTCGTCCTCTCGTCCCCTCATCCCGTCTCGCCCCGTCGTTCCCCTCGCAGCGGCATTGTGAACATCGACTTCACCTGCGCTAGCGGCGCCGCGCCCGCGACGGGAGCACCAGACTCCATCAGCGGCGGCGGCGGCAGCAGCAGCTCCGGTTCCAGCAGCAGCGGCGGAAGCGGCGGCGGCGGCGCTTCGTGCCCGGCTTCCTCGCTGACTGGATTCGACTATCAGGCGGAACTTACCCCAGGGTACGCGCAAACTCGCTTCGTCTCCTTTTCTCAAACTTACCCTCACTCTCACCTTACACCCTTCCCATCTCACCCGGTTCGCAACACGTCCTCTTCATTCTTCCGCCAACACCTTCTCCGCCACTCACCACGTTACTCCGCGCTTCTCCCTGCTTTCCCCCTCCCCCTCCCCCCCCCTCCCCCCTTCCCCCCTTCCCCCCTCCCACCGCCTCCCCCCCCCTCTTCCGCCAACAGTCTGCTCCTCCACTGGAAGCAAGCGTCCGCCACGTCGCTCGACATGGCGCTCGAGGCCACCGCATCCGGCGGCGCCGCGGGCTCGTGGGTCTCCGTCGCGTGGACGGGCGACGGCCGCATGGTCCCGTCGGACGCGGTCATCGGGAACCTTCCGGGCGGCGCGGCCGGCGCGTACGCGATCTCTGGATACGATGTGGCATCCGTCGTGAAGACGACGACGTTTTCCGTCGGCGCGGCGGCGACGGAGACGTCGAGCGGCGGAAGCGCGATCGTGAAGTTTACGCGGACGGAGGGGGAGGGTACGATCCCGATGTCGCTTTCCGCGCCGAACGCGCTGATCTGGGCGTATTCCGGGAGCGGATCGCAGTCGTTGGATTACCACGGCAGTAACTTGTACGTGCGGGTTGGGTTTTTTTTTTTTTTTTTTTTTTTTTGTACGCGTTTTGAAGAATTTGTTTGATTTCTTGGAGAGGTTAGATGAAAATTTCTCTGTTGCCCCAACTCTTTTCTTTCCGCCTCACTAACCTTCGTTTTCCCCTTCCGCCAATCGTTGTACCCTTTCCCCCTTATCTCTACAGCGGTTCAAAGACTGTGAGCTTCAACTGTGGTGGCAGCAGCACTCCCACCACTCCCACCACTCCCTCCACTCCTCCCACTACCGCCACTCCTTCGCCCGCAGTCCCCGCGCCCTCTCCCCCCGCCACCACCCCCGCTCCGCCCACCACCTCCCCCTCCGCACCTGGCGCCAGTGGCAGCAACAGCAGCGTCCCTGCATGCACGCCTTCTAGTCTGGATGGCTACACGTGCTCCGAGAAACTCAGCGGAAATGAGTAAGTGATGTTTCTTTCGTTTCAGTTCAAACAGCCGTGTAATCATCCTCTTCCTCTTCATCTATTGCTCACTCACTCAGCTCGGTGGCTCACTCACTCGCCCTCCCTCACTCCCTCTCCCCTCAGCTTCGTCCTGCACTGGAAGACCAACGTTGACTCCATTGACCTCGCCTGCGAGGCGGCAACCACCAAAAGGATGTCTGCCTCACTCCCACTCACTCTCTCTCCTTCTCCCGTCTCTCCTCCCGCTCTCCAGCTTCGTCCTGCACTGGAAGACCAACGTTGACTCCATTGACCTCGCCTGCGAGGTGGCAACCACCGGGTGGGTCTCCCTGGGGTGGAGCGCAGATGGCAAAATGTACCCCGCTGACGCAGTCATTGGCAACCTTGCCTCCTCCACCACCAAGCGCGCCGCTGCCACCGGCAGTACGGGCGGCGCTACAGTCGCCAGCTACAGCATTGCCGGCTACAGCGAGTCTGACGTCACCCCGGCAGCAGCCATCCCGCTGACCGCTTCAGCTGTCGAGACGTCGTCCAATGGGAAGACGGTGATTAAGTTCTCGCGAGTTCTCAAGGGCGGGAAATTCCCGATCGACACGAGTGTGGCGACGAACCTTATCTGGGCGTTTTCGGCTGATGGGTCCAAGAAACTGGCCAATCACGGAGGCAACCGGTGAGCACTCCTTTTCCGGTTCTTCTTGTTACTTCACTCCTCTCTTCTCTTCTCTTCTCCTTTCTTCTCTTCTCTTCTCTTCTCTTCTCTTTTCTGTGCTTTTTTTCCCACTAAATCCTTTCTCTTGTCACTCAATGCTCATCTCCCCCTGTTCTCAAACCTCTTCTCCCCCTCTTTCCTCCCCACGCCTTTTTTTTCCCCTCTGTGCTGCCTCTCGTTCCTCCCCACAGCGGTTCTGCGGTTGTTAGCCTCGCAGCTGGAGCTGCTACCTCAGGCTCGGGATCCGGTTCAGGATCAGGCTCGGGATCAGGCTCGGCATCAGGCTCGGGATCAGGCTCGCCAGCCCCACCTACCACGCCTCCGACAACAACTCCTCCTACTAACTCGTCCTCCGGCAGTGGCAGCAACAGCAGCAGCAGCAACAACAGCACCGGAAGCAGCAGCAGCTGCACGCCTTCCAGCATCGCTGGTTACGCCTGCTCTGCGCAGCTCAATGGGAGCAAGTGAGTGAAAGTTGATTTACTCCCGTCTCCCTATATTCCCAGTCATGCTTTGTAATTCCCAGTCATTTCTGAGTATCTTGGGGGTTCCTGGTCAGTCTCGGTCCCCTCTGTCCCCCCTTAGCAGCTTCATCCGATTTTCCAGCCAGTATTGATGTTCTCACGTACCCTCTCCCTCTTTCCCTTTTTGCAGCTTCGTTCTGCACTGGAACGCCACTGAAGACAACCACCGGGTGGGTCTCCCTCACTCACTGTTCACTCACTCAGTCTCTCCCTCCCTTCCCCCCTCTTCCCCCTCACAGCTTCGTTCTGCACTGGAACGCCACTGGAGAGAACATCGCCTTCGCCTGCGAGGTGGCAACCACCGGGTGGGTCTCACTCGGTTGGAGCGCAAGCGGCAAGATGTACCCCGCTGATGCCGTCATCGGCAACCTCCCTGCCTCCTCCACCGCAAATTCGGGTGGCGCTGCAGTCGCCAGCTACAGCATTGCCGGCTACAGCGAGTCTGACGTGACCCCGGTGGCAGCGACGGGCATCGCGCTGGCCGCTACAGCCGTGGACTCCTCGGCCAATGGGAAGACGGTGGTGAAATTCACGCGCGCCATGGCCAAGGGGAAGTTCCCAATCAGTGCGACCGGGCCGACCAAGGTCATCTGGGCGTACTCGGCTGATGGCTCCAAGCCTCTGGCCAATCACGGCCCCAACCGGTATGTTTACATTTCTTTGACCAATCACCTTGCATGTGTCTTTGGATATTCAACCGACCAAGGTCATCTGGGCGTACTCGGCTGATGGCTCTCTCAGGCTCTCGCCAATCACGGCCCCAACTGGTAGGTCCATCACCGCTCTGGGTGCAAGCTTCATTCTCCTTTTTGAGTCGACTCAAAAGCATCTACTTACCTCCTCCGCAAGCTCTGGGTGCCAGATTCATTCTCCCAGCCAACATGCTGTCATTTGCAGCTTCAGGCATTGGGGTGATTACAGTGATCTGGTTTGGCTCGTACTCTAACCCTTGGGATTGTCACGTGCAATAACCGTGTGTTCCCGTCCCATCCCCATCCTGCTCTGCCCTTACAGCGGCTCTGCCACCATCAATTTCGTCTCCGGAGCCACGGATACAGGCTCGACCTCAGGCTCGGTATCCAGCTCGGGTTCAGGCTCGGATGCAACCGGGGCAGTCGACCCGGGCCAGGATACTTCCAAGGCCAGCAACAGCACCAGTGCCAGCAGCAGCGGTGGCAGCAATTGCACGCCTTCGACCATTGCTGGTTACACGTGCTCGGCTCAGCTCAGTGGTGACAAGTACGTTTCTTTTTTCTTTTCTTTTCTTTTTTCCTTTTTACCTTCTTCTCTAACTGTGGACATTGCTACCTCTTTTTACAAGAGCTGGCATCCACTTTTTTCAAAAGAATGAATGTACCGCCCTCCTCTGACCTTTGCTCTTGTGTGTTGTTTTTTCCTCTCTTCTTCCCGACTTCTCTACGTCCACTCATTCGCAGGTACATCCTCCACTGGAAGGCCAACACATCGACTATCAGTTTCGCTGCTGAGGTGTCGACCTCTGGTTGGGTGTCACTCGGGTGGAACAGCAACGGCAAAATGCAGCCGGCCGACGCAGCCATTGGCAACCAGCCAGCTGGCAGCAACAGCGCGGCTGTCGGCCCGTACAGCATCACAGGATACGGCGCGTCAGACATCTCTGCCACGTCAGCATTCGCCCTGTCAGGCACCACAGTGGAGTCGGCAGCCAATGGGAAGACGGTTGTGAAATTCACGCGGCCGATGGCGGGAGGATCGTACCCGATCAACACGAACGGGCCTACCACGGTCATCTGGGCTTACTCTGCTGATGGCTCTCAAACTCTCGCCAACCATGGTCCCAACTGGTGAGTCCTCTTGCCCTCGTCCATTGCACTAACTTTGGGTAAGAGAGGGATCGTATCCGATCAACACGAACGGGACGACCACGGTCATCTGGGCTTACTCTGCTGATGGCTCTCAGACTCTCGCCAACCATGGTCCCAACTGGTGAGTCCTCTTGCCCTCGTCCTTGTTAGCCAAGAACACCGTGTGCCCGGTGCCTATGAGCCTCACATCCCCGCGCATCAACCCATGCATGTCCCATGTGCCTCGTTCAATCATTCCTCATCCCGCTCCTGATACCAGTTCTCATCCCTCATCCCTCTCCCCTCTCCCCTCTCCTCCCCTGTTCTTTACCTACAGCGGATCAGCTCAAATCGACTTCATCTCCGGATCGGCCGTCTCTACCTCCTCTTCCTCATCCTCCGTGGCCTTTATCATCCACGGGTGGCTGCTCGGCATCGCGTTCGGCATCCTCATGCCCGCTGCTATTCTCATCTCGCGAATCTTCCTCGCCGATAAGCTCCAAGAGAAGCCGCCCGGCGTGGACCACATCCAATGGGAGGAGCAGGTTGCGCGTGCGAAGTCCTGGAAGCCGATGGCGTTCGAAACACACAAGTGGATGCAGATTGTCGCGGTTGTGCTCGCTGTGGTTGGGTGCATCATCGGAATGGTCGTATCCGGCTCGGTGGGTCTCAAGGGAACGCACGGCCAGCTCGGAATCGCAATCTTCGTGATGATTTTCATCCAGCCTGTGATTGGTCACTTCCGGCCGAACAAGGGTACAGTGAATCGGCCGACGTGGTTCATCATCCACTGGGTGTTCGGCCTGGTTATTGTTGGACTCGCCTGGGTGAACACTTTCCTTGGGTTCGACGCGATGGCGGAGAAATTCGCCTCCGACATGCAAGTGTACTTCATCATTTTCGCGATTGCGATCGGGCTGTTTGCGGCGATCTACGTGGTGATCTTCGTGGTGGATCAGGTGGCGTTCATTATTGCGAAGTTGAGACCTGCTGCGGATGAAGGACGGGAAAAGCTACCGTTCGAGGTGTAAATGGTGGATTAGCAAGCTGGGCCGTGGTTGCTTGACCCTGATTTACGTGGTTATCTTCGAGGTGGGTCATGTGGTGTTCATTCTTGCAAAGTTGAGACCTCCAGCGGATGAAGGACAGGTAAAGCTGGTTGACAAAGTGTAGGTTGAGATGGTGGTATTGTGGTTTCCATTGTTGGTTAATAAGTATCTGTATCCCGTGCTATTCTTGTACACTTATACCTAGCAACTGTGTTTTGTGTGGCCACACAGTTTTGTGGCCTTCAATTTGTATCTCTGCTTGAGAAACATGTTAGTCATGACTCGTGACATGACATTATATTTTGTCATATCTAACGCTAACAGTAACATTGTGCTTGATTAGAAATAGTTGCCAACACCAGCACTTGGACATCATCCCTGCTCTAGAAACATGCCTTTGCACTGCATCCGGAATAATGTTGTTACGATAAGAACTTAGGAGGGACTTAGGTTTAGAGCAGGGCTGACTTTATCAGACTAAAATAGTCTGATTGTCTGAAATCTCAGGGTATTTTCCTACGGATCCTGATTTTTCAGACTTGTAAGATTTTCAAACATGAGTGCCTCAGACTTACTTGGTTTTGGATCCTGAGATTTTCAGAGTACTGACTTAGCCGATAATGGGTCTTCATACTACAGGGAGTACGGATCCTGAAATGTGGATCTGTGATTTCTACGTACATTCCGCTACGTCATATGTTGCCAGTGTACGAACACACTTCATGGCGCTGTCACGCGCAGAATCTGTCCTTGGCAACTTTTGCCACCCTTTTCCCTTAGAAATCTGCCAACTTGGCTCACTCTTCCACTCACGCGGGACCATCACTGCAGCTACGCGGTGTCAGCGAGGGAAACTGGTTAGCGTTGCGCCCCACGTGCTACATTTGTGGCAGTACTGTACTGCAGTGGTTGTAGTGTGTTCTGAGTACTTCAGACTTGTGTTTTTGCGGAACCTGAAAAATCAGAGTGGCCATTCTCTGGGAAATATGCCTCAGACTAAAAATTTTCAGAGCCCCCAGAACATCAGACTGGATTTTTTTGAATAGTCAGCCCTGGTTTAGAGCTAGGCGAGAGTAGCGAGAGGAGAGTTGGCCAAGAAAAAGGGGCTTCACTATAGAGAGAGAGATACAAGATATAGGGCAAGGGAAGGTGGCCAAGGGGGGGTATACCACCAACAATAGAAGTGATACTACACTAGCTAGTCTAATATGCAGTTATATATAGAAATACAATTTCTGACATCCCCTTATAAAGCCCGGGGTCAGCATGGTAAATTTTCAAGTTATGTGAGGTTGAAATCGTACAAAAGGAGGGTTTATGTTACGGGTGCATTGAATCGAGGTAGCGAGGATTGCACTAAGTGTCAAACGAGTACAAAATGTGAGCAAAGGCATGAGCGAACATGTATATGCGAAACATGCAAACGGTAACGCGGTGCGTGCGAGATAGCTAGTGCTAGGCTGGCATCGAGGCTCGGGCTAGTCCCGAAGAGTAGGCCGACACGGCCGGGCCAGCGGTGCATGGTTTGGTGAAACATTGTGCGCGAAGTCGGCGAAGCCCCGTTAGCAGTAACAGGCGAACAATGGTTGTTGATGTACGCGATGTTGCAGGTGTCAAACTATATATGTGCTAGTTCTGTGTAGGCTATAGTGCGGTAGCCTGTATGGGGTACAACCCAATGTTATGGTTATTACTTGTACCCACAATCCTTTCAATGCAGTCATTCCTCCTTGCTATCTTGACATGGTATCAGAGCAATAGGTCCGTAGGACCGTTTTTTTTAGGGCCCACCATTACCTAGTATCCGACTGCGGTTACCGCGTTACCCCACGCCTTGCCCTGCGCTGCCCTATAGCGCGCGCCCTGCCCTGCCTTGCGTCGTGCTGCCCCGCGCACGCCCTGCCCTGCCTTGCGTCGCGCTGCCCCGCGCACGCCCTGCCCTGCCCCGCGTCGCGCTGCCCCGCGCGCGCCCTGCCCTGCCCCGCGTCCTGCTGCAGCTCGCGCCCTCCTGCCCTGCGCGTCGCGCCTTGCTGCCTTGCGCGTCGCGCCCTGCTGCCTTGCGCGTCGCGCCCTACGTCTGCCCCGCGCGTCGCGATCTGCTGCAGCCAGCGCGTCGTGCTCTGCTGCACCGCACGTCGCGCCCTGCTGCAGCCCGTGCGTCGCGCCCTACTGCCCCGCGCGTCGCGCCCTGCTGCAGCCCGCTGTCGCGCCCTGCTGCCCCGCGCGTCGCGCCCTGCTGCAGCCCGCGCGTCGCGCCCTGCTGCAGCCCGCACGTCGCGCCCTGCTGCCCGCGCCGCCAAGGCCGAGTCGCGCCGCCCAGCACGAGCCGCCCTGCCCAACCTGATCCACCCTACTGCTGCTGCTACTGGTGGAGGTACTGCTAGGAGTACTGGAGGTGCTACAGCCTAGCCTCGCCGAGCCGCTCTGCTGCTCTTATTGCTGCTGCTGCTACTCGTGCTACTGCCTTCACTCCGTCCTGCCCTAGATGTCACGCTCCTCTTAGCTTGCCCGCCATAACTTCACTTCGCAGCAGCAGTGGGAGTGGTGCCGGCGGTGGTGGCAGCAGTGGGAGTGGTGGCGACCGTAGTAGCAGTCACTGTGGCGCTGTTCGGTGCGAGAGTTATTGGTGGTGGCCAGATGAAGCTACAGCGGCGTCCGACCCTTACGCCCCAGCAGCTTCGTGAGTGGCTTTACTAGCGTGGGACGTCTCCTAGTCCTGGTCGCTGCCCGTACGTCATTCGCACAGGTTGTCGAGCTGGTCAGACCTGTGGGACACCTGGTCACGCACAGTCCCGCTGCTTCTCCTATTTGAGTGACGCCTGGCACGCAGAGTTTGGAGACGATGCTGAGATCCCCCACTGGCTTGAGCTGCTTAGGTCGGGCGTTGATGTCTTTGCTTTAGACTACGACGCCATCCTTACTGCCATGTATGCTTTGCCTGGTGGTGCTGAGGGTGACTGTGACCTGTGTGTGCAGCACGACCCCAGTATAGAGGTTACTGCTCTAGGTGCTAGTGATGCTGCTGCCTTAGGTGCTAGAGAGTCTGCTCTCTCATGTACTGCGCCTATTGAGGCCTTGCACACCTTCACGCTTGACTCATGTGCTTCTCGCTGTTTCTTTCACGACAGTACCGCACTCACACCACTTCCTGCACCTGTTGCGGTGTCTCTGGCTGACCCCGCAGGGGGCCCAGTTCTGGCACGGTCCACCACTGTGCTCCCGTGCCCGGAGGTTCCGTCTGGCTCACTGACAGGCCTCCACCTCCCCTCGTTCTCTACGAACTTGGTGAGCAACGCAGTTCTCCAGGACCAGTGGGTTGACACCTTTACCTCTGGAGGACAGCGTGTGGCGATCTGTACGTGCTCCCGGACCGGCCGCCACCTGGCCACGTTTACCCGTCGCCCAGGGTCGAGTCTTTACACACTGACGACTGCGCCTCCTCATGTAGCTGCTACTGGTCAGGTGTCTGCGTAAGGTCAGGTAGCCTCCCCTTGTAAGTGTCGCTCCCTGTCACACCATACTCTTCTCTGGCACCACCGTCTGGGTCACCCCTCCTTGCCACGTCTACGTGGCATGCACCGTCGCCTCCTTGTGTCTGGTCTTCCCCGGTCTCTCCCTCCCCTCCCTGCCTCCCCTGCGCCGCCCTGCCTTCCTTGCGTCGAGGGGCGGCAGCGCGCCGCTCCTCACTCCTCCTCGTTTCCCTCGACAAAGGCTCCTCTGCAGACCCTCCACATGGACGTGTGGGGCCCAGCCCGCGTTCGTGGACAGGGCGGTGAGCGGTACTTTCTGCTGGTTGTCGACGACTACTCGCGTTACACCACGGTCTTCCCCTTGTGCACCAAGGGTGAGGTCCCTGCTGTCCTGATCCCTTGGATCCGAGCAGTTCGTCTCCAGCTCCGCCGCAGGTTCCGCCAGGACCTTCCTGTCCTGCGTCTGCACTCTGACAAAGGTGGTGAGTTCACCTCCGACCTCTTGCGGGCCTTCTGTCAGGGGGAGGGCATCGAGCAATCGTTCACGCTTCCGGGCTCACCGCAACAAAATGGGGTTGCTGAGCGCCGCATTGGCTTGGTCATGGAGATTGCACGTACCTCCTTGATCCATGCGGTGGCTCCCCATTTTCTATGGCCGTTTGCGGTCTGGTACGCCGCGCATCAGCTCAACCTCTGGCCCCGTGTCTCCTTGCCGGAGACCTTGCCCACACTGCGTTGGACGGGGGAGGTTGGCGATGCGTCGCGTTTCCGAGTCTGGGGTGCTCATGCCCTTGTCCGCGATACGTCCACGGACAAGCTCTCCTCCCGCACCATTCTCTGTGTCTTCCTTGGCTTTGTCCTTGACGCGCCTGGCTGGCAGTTTTACCACCCCACCTTGCGCCGTGTCTTCCCCTCTCAGGATGTCACCTTTGACGAGTCGGTTCCTTTCTACCGTCTCTTCCCCTACCGCACTGCCCCTCTCCCTCCCCCACCGCTTTTCCTCACTCCAGGTCCCCCTCAGGTAGACCCCCTCCCTTCTCAGGGTCCTGCCCCTTTTGGTGTGTCTCAGGTAGACCCACTCCCCTTTGCTGAGCCTGTAGAGGTCACTAGAGACTCAGGTGCTGCTGCGGGTGGTACTTCCCGGGGTACTGCGTCTGGGGGTGCTGAGCCTGTGCGTGCGGTGCTGGGGGGTGCGGAGCCTGGGGGTGCTGAGCCTACGAGTGCGGAGCCTGGGGGTGTTGAGCCGGAGGGTGCTGAGTCTGGTGGTCTCTCTTCACGACGGGGGCCTCTCTCACCACACCAGCTACGAGAGTGGCTGGCGTGGCGTACCCGCCTGAGGAGTCGTGCTGCTGGTGCTAGAGGTACTTCTGCTCGAGGTGCTGCGGTTGGAGCTGCTGGAGCTGCTCGTCGTGGAGGCGCTGAGGGTCCTGGCGCTGAGGGTCCTGGAGGTGCTCGTACCGGAGGTACTCGGGCTGCCGGGGTCCGTGGTGCTGGAGGCACTGGAGCTGGAGG